TATATATATAATTCATAATAAATAAAATAGGATCCGATATTATATATATTAGCGAGAATAATATAAAAAAATTTTTTAGGATCACTCGATATCTGAAAAAATAATTATAAGAGAAAGAAAGGGAAAAAGATATTATAGAGATATTAAAGAAAGATTAAAATAATTATATAAAATTCAGCAAAAACTTAGAGATAGAAAATCATGTGAGAGATAGACTTCAATTATGTACAAATAGATATTAAAGTCAATACAATTTTTTAAAATATCAAATACTGCTAATTTCTTTTAGCACAAAATTAATCGTGATGATATTGTAATAAAATTTATTTGCAAACTGACGCAGTGATATTGTTCACTTACACTGCACGGTCAAATTTAGCTGGTAAAAGGTGGTTCCTTCCTTGTTCAGCGCTTCGCATATATATGTACCGGCATCATGACGATCCAATCTCGTGATATTTAGCGTAGAACCGTGTGCTGTTATTCTCTTACCGCTACTACCCAACGGTAGACCATCCCTTGTCCACGTGTATTCCGTCGTGTTCGGATTGCCTCTTGCCGATACGGAAATTACAAAAGGCTCTCCTTCCAGGCCGGTTAATTCGTAAGGGTCCAGTGGTGAGAATATCGGCTTGTCTGAGGAATAAAAAAACAAGTTCGTTATGGTATTTTATTTTCATAATTAAGCAAGATATTAAAAGAACGAATATATATATATATAGTTTGATATAATTTTCAAATAAGCACATATAATATCGCGAAAAAAAAAATGTAAATAAATCTTTTTAAAATTACTATTTAATAAAACTGTATAGCTTCATTTTTTTCGTTTATACAAAGCTTCGAATGTTAGTTATATAATTTTACTTTTTCCATTTTCTGGATATAATCATGCAATTAAAAAATTTAAACAATCCATACATTGTTATTCGAGCAACGAGATTACAATTTTAAAAAGGATGGAAAGGCTGTTAAATTTACATATCTATTTATTATCTATATACTTATATATTTAATATTTTTTAATATGACGTGCGTATCAGTGTATTTTTAATATGTTTTTATAACAAGCTTATAAAAATAAATAGCAGATTAATTGTTCTCCCTCCACAATTTCATCTATGCATTCTTTTACACTCATTTGCGCTTCGATTGATTGTTATTTTACGCCGTTGTTATTGTACAAACGAGGTATCGTGAATAAAATGCAAATAAATTTATACCAGAGCGGAATCCAATATATCCAGGGAGATAGAAAGGGATACTACCGTGCATTTGCGCTCTGCAGAGATTTCCGGGTTGAATGCACTCGCACTACTCGTATAGTCGGACACGATCGTGCATGAATGCTGATCTTCGCAGGTGTACAGATTATGTCGTTAAGAGCGATCTACTTAGGGTCTACACTCACATAGCACATCCAGTGTCGTAGCGTCGTGGCTAGATCTCCCCAATTCGGCGTTCTTGGCCTCGCAGGTGTACACTTCGCCGTTCATGTCCTCGGTTAAATCTAGCGTGAGCTCGACGGACGAGAGGTAGCCGCCGTGTAATCCGGGCTTGGTGCTGTTTCTGGTGCCGGGTACCGGTATCCCATTCTTCCACCACGACATTTCGGCGGCGGGATTGCTGCTGCTCGATTCGCAGATTAGGCGTCCCTCCTGGCCGGCGTGAAAATCCTGGGGCTCGCGGTTAATCTTCACCCTCTCGGGCGGAACTGGAGGGGTTGAAAAAGTCAACGGTTTAAAATATCGTTGCGCCGAGATTCGCTACTCGCGACGTGAAGAAAAAGTGAGTAATTATAACGTCGTTCAATCACTTCTATGTGCTAGCTTTTCTTACTGGAGAAACTTAACGTCTCTCACTCGATCTAGAGTGACCCCCCCCCCCCCACGATAAAAACACACAAAAGGCTTCTGATAATGAATATACGCGGGATGAGTCATATCTTACAATAGACTTTTAGCACGAGAACGTTGAGCAGGGGGATCTCGGTGGCGGAATTCGTCGCCTCGCATCGCACGTGGGCATTGTTGTCGGACGCGTTGACGAGTATCGCCAGCTCGCTCGAGACAGCATGATTTCGCTGTCTCACTGTGCCGAGTACCTGCATTATAAGACAATGTTAACGTAATCTATCTGTATCCGCAGTGGCGGATCTCAAAGTTGATTTAGAGATCGAGATGCTTGCGAAAATTAGAAAACTACAAAAGTACAGAAAAAAATCTATATAAATTATCAGATTTAAAAATGAATAATTCTTATTATTCGAATTATCGATTTTCATTGTTCTTCCCCGAAATTCTTTCAATTCTTATTTGAGAAAAGGTCGCAAGAAGAATTAATTTTCATTATTTTGTGCAATTATTAAAACTTTAAAAAGCGGAGTTTTAAGATTTCTGTTCAATACACTGCGAGGAGTTTTAATCTCCAGATGTAAGATTGTTGTCCAAATTTAAAATTAAGCTTCAGTCGCAAGAAAAACAAACGTATTTGGGATTGGAGAGATAATCCATTAAATTAATAGATTAATTACTTCCGTCATCATGTCTTCGATAATTGGTAAAATATTTGAAACTGGAAGAAATGAGGAGTTTTGCATTTACAGTTTCATGTATTTTGAGTTTATGTGATAATCCGCCACTACTAGATTTACGACGATCCTTTGTACAAGTTCATGTACCTTGCGGTCGTTTTTGTACCATGTTAACGTGGCCAATGGATTACCCGCCGTAGCGGTGCACATGAGCTTCAACACTGTTCCAGCAACTATCGTCGTGCCCTCTTCGTATCCGGTGACGGTTAATTTAGAAGGTGGATCTACAAAATTAAATAAGTTCAATCATAACCGGTTAATTACCGTTTGAATATTCACACATTATGCATCTCTAATATTTGCTACGCTGAGAAAAACGTCTCTGATTGAAAATGGACGAATCAAAAGATTTTGATTGTACCATTCAGAATTCCTTATCTCAACCAGAATTCTAGTAGATTTAATCAAAAAATTCTGATTTATTCATTTTCCATCAGAATTCCAATTAATTCCAATCAGACATTTTTCTCAGTGATATTATATACATATATACTCGTGCACGATTTAAAAGTACTTTTATCGAAAGCCAAAATGCGAATGTAAGTGAAAAAAGAATTTATACGATATAAAAATTTTTTACACCAGGAACGTACGTGTAATAGAAAAGCACTCGAACATTTTTGTCACGCTACAATACGCGCGTTTATCGTTCGTCTTCGCCTCGTTTGTCGACTTCATCTCACTGTTCACTGAACATTCGGTAAAAGGCTTATGATAATTTGTAAGGATTATTTGTTGAATTCAGTTACGCTATTGGACACGAGTGGCATTCGTTATAGTCTCGGATTGCCGAGCGCGGTATTGATTGGAGGCCACTAATTGTTTAGTATATTCAGACAGCGAATAATTTTAATGCATGTAATTACAAACTGAAAACGCAGTTGATTATACAAGGATTATTTATTTATGGCGGAAATTAATGTCGGTCGATTACGGTTGTATTATTGCGAGAGTGTATCATGCGCGCAACATGACGTAATGTCGAATATGTTAAATGAATTCTGACCATCCGATTCACAAAATAGTGTGCGTATGCGTGTTTTGGGACTCCGGATAACAGTGGCGTGGTCGATTAATTTGTCATCGCGTGCCGTGAAGATGTCAACGGGAAACAACAACAATAATATCGTTATTCCAATTTTCTAAACATGTGTTACAAATTGATCATTATAAAAAGATTTTTCCGACAGCTTGAGAAGGGCTATTTGCACGCGTTATAATGTTTCATTTTAGGAATGATCATTTTAACTTATCTTGGGGACACAGCTTTGCTCACTTTATTATACGCACAGGAATTGTATATTATATTATCTGCGGCAAAGAGCATTTTTAATCAGAAGTTAAGAGAAGAAATAAATCTTCATATAACGTTATTTTATATTATACTAATATGTTGTTTACGTTTTAATTAAAAATATATTAAATGTCGGTTCCTCTTTAACGAGAATATATCCATGAAGAGGATTAATTGCATTCGTAAATGAAGCGAAGAGCGTAAATAATGAACTGAATTTCATTTTTCGTTTTAATTACGTTAATCCTACCTCATTTTTATCTTAACGAGGATTTATCTGACGCGCGGCCGCTAAAAAATTTAATATCGACAATTGGCAATTGGAAGGTCCTTCCGTAAAATATCTCGTGCAGTAGTATTTCGGTGTATCCAGTATACGAGTCTTTGACGCGGGACGGAAATTAGATTTTCGCCGCGGGCGAGAAGAGCGGTGTCTCGTTACAACTGCAATGTGCCCGCGCGATGCGCTTGTACCGAATGCCTGGCGAAATTGTATGATAGAGAAGAGGAATGCTCACATATCACGTTGATGGTGTGCGTGCCGACCACATTCTCCGTGAGCTTGGCGTTGGAAGCGTGGCAGATGACGACGATGCTGCGGCTCTTGCGATTAATGCTGAACGTCACGTTCGAGCTGGTGATCCAGCCACCGTTCGGTGCCAGCTCCGTCTTCGAGGCGTTGCTCTCGAAATTATGCCCGTCCACCGTCCACTTTATATCCGCGGGCGGATTCGAGTTCTCCGTCGTGCAAGTAATGAGCACCTGGTCGTCCGCCTTCGCTTCGGTCGGACCGGTGATGGTTACTCCGGCAGGCGCGACTGTAGAATTATATAAAAGTAAGCGTGTGAAAAAATTCGAATTGGTTGATCTGAACGGTTCATAAAAACTCACGGTGGGAATGGTATAAAAAAATAAAAAAAAAATGGATAGATACGTTAGAAAAATGTCTGGTTGGATTAATTGGAATTCTGGTTGAAAATAAACGAATCAGAACTTTCTGGTTAAATCTAATACTGTTCTAGTTGAGACAACTGGAATTGATATAATCAGAATCTTCCGATTCGTCTATTTTTCAACAGATACTTTTCTCAATGTAGATATAAATACTTAATTAATTTGGAGCAAAAGCAGAATAAATATTCAGTGAATATATGCTCTCTAAATTCTTCAAAATGAATTTCACTAAGGAATTTAGATAGTACGTATGTAAAAGATAAAAAAAAAACGGAAAATGCCAAAAGAAAAATAACGAAAGACAACTTAAATTATTAACTCTTCGAAGCTACGCTGTGGGAACGATACACTTGAGTATAGCATACCTAACTTAATTCGATTTTCATGAAAAACTTGCATAAAAATGAACACTTTATAAAGATCCTGTGGCTGAGACAATATTTTTTTTTACAGATTTTTAAGATGCATATATACATTGTAAAGAATTTTTTTTTCGATCAGAACGCTAGATATTAAGGAATCTAACGATATCAAGTAAATGTATGCATCTTTATCCACAATAAGATTATAATCAATAGAAAAAGAATTAGAAAAGCATTGAAAAAAGAAAGCCGGGTATGCCACCTAGAATAGCATCGAAGATTTAGATTCGAATTTTAGTGATCTTGATATCCTGCTAAGCAAATTCCCGGGAACCGAAAGCCACCAAGCTACATTTGAAAAATTAATATCGCTTGCTGTCGTCAATTTTCATTTTTCAAGCTGGCCGTAAAAAAAAATGAAATATAAAGTTTACCAACAGGCTGTCAATATCTGTAATAGGACTGTCGACGAACCGTTTACCCTTAATCGTAAATGTACGATAAGCCAGAGCCGTGGTATTTTCTAGCTTTATCGCATATATCACGCGAACATAAAGTTAGCAAAATTTCAATTTCGGTAACGCGAACGTAGCCTCGGCGAAAATAGAGAAGCGGAATTATTTATGCGGCTGTTCCGTCGGCAAGAGATCGTCCATACGCTGTGCAACCTTAGTTGTGCAATACTATGCTTTGCGGCAAAGTAATGGTGAGTGCCACAGACAGGTACCAGGCAACGTTAATATTCTAACACCTTAAATACGTCTCAAGTATTACTCGCGAGAAATACGCATTCTACAAGAAATTCAAGAACAGAGAAGAGCAATAAAAAAATCCATATTTTTCCATTCTTTTTATTACCCACTTTTTGAAATTAGCATCTGAGGTTAATTTTATGTCAATTAAATCATCCTCGAAAATTATTAATTCATTAAGCCATATAAATAAAATTATCGAACATTATTGTGGATAAATTAAATTAAGATATTTTGCGTTATTCATCATATTAATACAAAAAGGATGATAACATACAATTACATAGGGATTAGTATATATTAGCATTATTAAATGTATTAAAAGTATTAAATGTATTAAAAAATTAAAAGTCCATTAGTCCGATTAATATAAGAGACGATAATAACATGCAATTATATGAAGGATGGGTGTAACGCACAGGGAATGAATGCAGGGAACGGAGGGTTTCTCCGAGCGTTTCTCGAAATGTAATTTGCAATGCGTTTGCACCGCTACCTAATCGCGCGCAATTATCGTAGGCGCGCACACTTACACAGTACGGTGAGATCGACGTGTACTTTCATGGGTTGCACACTCATGATGTTGGAGACCTCGCATCTGTAGCGAGCCTTGTCGTCCTCCGCTCGGGCGATGAACGAGTACACGTTCTCGCTGACGCCTGGGCCTCTGCGATGGGCCGCCGTGACCTTCTCGTCGTTCCTGTACCAGACAATTTCCGCCTGCGGATTTCCGCCGCGTGATCGACAGGCGAGCTCCACATTTTGACCGCGTTGCACAGTCTCACCCTCGGTGTAGCCCTCTATGTACGGTGGACCAGGTGGATCTGCAAAACAGACGCCGCGCCGACGTTACGCCGTTGTACAGAAAGAAGGCGTCGTGCTAACGAAACTCATTTGAAAACATAATCCGGATAATTGGGAACGAAAGTCATTCTCAGCTCAAATCACTTAAAGTGACGACGCGTATGCAAGATTTGAGAAGAGCTCGACATATACTTCCGTCCGTATCGCGCATTTAAACTTTCTGTACATACATTTGGCAAATTGCCATTCGTTCTGAGGATTATATTGCGTAATAAATTCAACCTAACTTGTTACATGAATTTCATTTGTTGGCGAACGCTAAATAATTTTACTATTACCGCGACATATATTATAGCATATTATTTAAATTGTCAAAGTTAACCTCTTATTATTCTATTTTATAATAGAAAGCATTTATTCGCGTATAAGTAGAATTCGCGTTATTTTCCGGCACAAATAAAGCATTGTAAAGTTAAGGATGTATTACACGGATATTTTTAACGAAATGAAAAAAATTACAGATTTTTCTATATTGTAGTTATATAAAAGTAATATAAAAAATTTCGCGATGATTTAGAATCTGAATTAAAAAATTGCATTAATAAGAAATAGACATGTCTTTCAAAAAGATAATTAAAATAAAATGAGCAAATTTTGCGCACATAATATTCATTTGTATACGGAAAGTATAAATTTTCAATTCTATTTTTTGCAGACAGATAATGCATCTAATACATCCTTAAAGATAGCAGAATTTGAAATGAAACTCGACTCGATAATGCTTATACGAACTCTAATTTCGTATAACGCTCGCTATACGTTTTTCACGACAATATATTAAGGTAACGGCGTCATGACATAAGTGATGACGCGGGTACATGTTTTTGTAACAAATATAATACAATACTTACAGAAAACGGAAAGTGTAATGGTAGCCCGCATAGGCCTATCTATGGGAATTGCCGGGTGGCTGGCCTCGCAGGTGTAATCCATCCCATTATCATCCGCCGTAGGCATGATGGTAATAGAACCGTGAGTGTCGTATTTGAGCAATTCCTTCGTCTCCCCAGGCTTCTCCTTGTCTGAAACATTGACCACGCAAATCGCGAAATAAATATCACCTGCCACCTGCCTCCACTTTATAGCGAAATTAAAACTACTTTTCTTTGACTAGATATTATTTTTTTTTGTTTTACCATACACGTTATTCGACGAGGATTTCAAGAATGTGGAGTAGCAAGTTGCCATAAGTTCCAGTTGTCATTTACTGTTATCTGATAGCAGCAACTAACCACTTTTCTTTAATGTTTTATTATTGTTTGCTTTTTTATAATTGTTTAACAATTTCGAGAAAACGCAGATGATGACACATCAATATTTTATTAATAATACTATCTAAAATTTTCCGAGAGCTATCCGAAAAAATTGCTTCCAATATTTAAATTACATATATTACGCGTCTTTAAAATTTATAAAATCAATTTTAAATATTAAAAAAAAAAAATTAAATTATAATCGGCCATATTCATTGATGAATATCTGAATGTTTGAATTCATAGCAAAATTAATTTCAATGCCGAGCGATATCGATCCTTGATCGTGACTTTAATCGCTCGATTATTTGTGGAAATTGTCAAATTAATTCGAGATTCATGAAGAAAGTTGAATTATTCATAAATGACGCGCACAAAGATAATTTATATTATAGTCGCGAGTGTACGTAACGTTACGCGAGAAAGATACGCGTACTCGCGTTGTGAATCTCTTTTTAAATCTCCGTTAAAAGCTTCGGACAAGCTTTTACAGCGAAAGCACGATGCATGACTCTTTATTCCGCACGCTGCAATCCACACGGTTTTTGGAGACACAAACGCCGGAGATACAAACGCTCTCACCGGGGTTTGACTGGATGCGTAATGGTCGAGGAAAGATTGCTGCTAGAATGACGAGCGAGATGCGAATAAAGCATCTCGTAACAAAGGAAACAGCGACGATCGCGATTTATTTCTGCACGTAGAACTTCACGCTGTTCGCAGCATCGCTGTTGTTAGATAGAGCGCATCTAATAGCTTTATATACTGCAAATCCAAATGTGTACACTACAAATCCAAGTGTGTAAAAAGTGACTTCAACATATGTGTGTGATTTATTTTTTTGTGTAAAAATGACACTATACTGCACGTTTAAATGTGTAAATCCATTTCTGTATGCGGTGCAGTGTGTTATTTTTACAGGGAAAACTAATCACACACATATATCGAAGTCACTTTTTCCACATTTGGATTTCCAGTGAAATAAGTGCCTCCATATATGAGTGTGATTTAGTTTTTCATTAAAATAACACACTATACACTGCGCAAGAAAATGGATTTACACTTTAAATGTGTATATAGTATTATTTTTTGTTACAAAAAACTAAATCAAACATATATGTATATCAAAACACTTGTTACACACAAGGATTTGCAGCATAGCTATTTGTCACTCCTTTTCCTTATAAAATTAAATAACATTGACGTTAAATAACGTTGACGTCGGATACAATATTAAAAATATTAAATATTATCTATCGATGCAAAGAAAAAGAGACAATTTTTATTGCGCGAGTGAAAATTGAAGAAATGTTGTATTTTTCGTAAAAGCAGCCTATTTTCGTGCCTACAAAAATAAGTTCATGGATGGTGCGATTTTCATTACAGTGAATTACAGAATTTAAACATTATTTCCTGTTTTTAAAACGTATTATAAATTGCAATGGAATTGATGTTCATGTTACACCGACAGGGATAATATTAAAATATGTAACGTAATGTAAAATAATATCAAAATACTCATTTTAACTTCAATCGAATAATCCGCTAAATGTAAAGAGCAAATTTGTTTTAAATACCTACAAATTCATCACAGTCTGCTTACGTATATTTTCCGATAATAAATTCGCGTTACGCGATAATAATCGCAATGTTCGTAGAAGTGCGGACTTTCCTTCTCCATGCATTTCATTCGAGTCGAATATATATACGTAGAATTCACGAAACATATGCAGCTAAATTTCTATAATATATTGAACCAATCACACAGTTAATTAAACAATAAAACGGCAACTAGAGTTATTATGCAAAACGCCGCAGTGATATTCTAATATTTTTATACGACACTTTTATGTTGAAGTTTAATTTCTGTAATCAAAATTATTTAGTGCTATGTGAGACGGGTCTACATTTTGTAAAATTAAGTCATCTCTATTACTCTTTCTTTTATCCTTCCTTTTTCTAGATTAATATTTCATCACCGACAAGAAATAGCAATTTCTGCATTCATTGGATATTCATTCGTTCATTCCTGTTCATCGAAATAGTTAATGAAGCGTCTTTATGCATCACATTTCGCAGAAAACTTTTCTTATCTACTTTCGACGACTACGAGCTTGTATTTGCAAAAATTTAGTCAGTATTCATTTCACGAACACACCCCGTGCATCGTATAATCGTGTCGCGTCGCGTCGCGTCTCTGTTCATCTCGTCCACGCTATTTATCGATGTTCTTATCGGGATATACGAGTATATTTTAACCCTGCGCGCCGGATGGTGGTAAAACCGGCCGATGCAATCGTTTGATGTCTCGTCGGGTTGTCTCCGGCCGAATGTAAAAACGCAACGCGGTAGCGCGAGCGGGAGACAGGAATGTCAATTTCGGTAGTTGGAGCGCGGCCAGAGTTGTGTGTCACGGGATCGATCGAAGATGCACTTGGCAACTGGAAGCGGCGCTAAGAGGGAGAGGCGTCTCGATGCCGTCCCAATCTTTTTCCCCACTTCTATGCGCGTCGCGATGAGCGTCGCCCGAGAACGGCTTCCTACGAAAACGCGAGATTACTTATTCGCCTCTCGAATATCGTGCGCTAAGCCGAATCTAGACTGAGCGAGACGTGCGCGAACGAACACGTATAAACAGTTTACTCCAATGAGTGCGATCGGTACGGTCTACAGCTATTTCGCTAAGATTATTTATTCATGCTTGTTCGTGCTCGCATGCTTAGCTTAGGATCCTATCTTAATGCTGTATATTCACGCGTATTTCGTCTAGTTTGCAATTACGACGAATTTGACTAACTCAGGGAATATAAAAGACCGTAAAGAACGTAGCAAAAAGGATTTTTAGACGTCTGAAAGATTTGGGAATCCTTCAAATGCCTTTTACGTCTTTTCCTGAGTATTTGGATTACTGCAAGAATCTTTTATACAATTCATGCATTTAATTCGCTTCCAACCGTTGAAAGATAAATAGAAAGCTGTCTCCTTTTTCAATGTTTTCTCTGGTTACGAAATTTTTTTCTCCAATTACGAAAATACCCAAAAATACAGATAAAGAAATACGTATATGTGTTAGAATAAAATTACTTTCAATGAAGCAAATCCTATTCTTTAAAAAGATCCGTGTGTTCTTATTGTCATTCACGTAACATTTCGGATTGCTTGTTGAAATATCCTTAACAAGAAAAAAAATGTTTTTTTAACTAATAATTTTTTACTCAAGCAGAACGACAAGTAACGATAATGTCAAAATGACACTAAAATGAATCGGAAATGATTAAAAAATGACTTTTAACGATCATCTTGAAGTCATTTCGACATTTTGACTTGTTGTTCTGCTTGGGTAGATTCAATAATTGCTATTGACTCTGAAGAATTATTATTAAAAAACACATTGATATAAAAAAGATATTTGAAGTAAGTAATCCCAAACATCAATTCTACGTCAATTTTTAAAAAGTGTTTTCAAACTTTTAGAAAGTATACGTGAAGTATACGTTGAACTTGTCGATAATTTCTGTTATCACTCACTTTACAGTATCAATAACAGTCGCCAGTTATTTATAATGAAAGAGTTTAATCAATCTCTTTCTGATATTTCCGCAATTCAGAATTTAATGAAAAAAGAAATTAACGCACTGAAAGAAAATTTACTAAATCTTAATACATATTTCTTTACAGTCCTAACAAAAGTAAAAATATATTCGTCTTAAAATTTACTTAAAAAAATAATAATTAAATAATCTAATTAACGGTT